ATTGACAAGAAGATTACAATGTAGTGATTAGGTATTAGAATAGATCCCATATGTGTATTGAATTTGATTTTCTCAATCTAGTTGTTATAGAAGATGATACTATGCCATGGGGGAATTTACCACAGAACCGAACTTGGATTCTTCACTGTCACCATTGCTACTATTATTGCATAATCAATTTCTTGATTTGATTTTGAAGTTCCCACGTTTCCAGCATTATCAACTAAATATATTTGTTTCTATGCTGCAAGCTTAATTGTGGGTACAGTTACGGGTGTAACATGGAAAGATTCGAGAAAAGTATTTGTGGTGTTCTTTTTAAGTAATGTAGTATTTCCAAGCTTTATTTTAATGAAGTTGTAAAAAGTGAATTTTTATTTATATGTAATGTAGTTGTGATTTATGAAGTTATCCTTTATGACTTGATGCAGAATTAGACCAAAAAAAAAAAATAAAAATGATAAATGTGATTGAAAATGAGAAGAAGATAATTAGACGGAATAAGATCAAGGACATGGATGGTGATTTTTTTTTTTTATCTATTTTCTACTGATCTTGTTACTTGGAATTATAATTGATTAAAATTTCCTTGTCCATATAGTTGTCATTTACCTATAGCAATTTTATATATTTCACTATTGAGATTAAATAAACCACAAATAACAATTAAATACTAATTGATAAGACAATCAATACTAAATTTTACTAATTGGTAGAATACTAGAAAATTAGCACTAATTATTTAACTAATTGACAGAAATCAAAATTTCAAGAATCCATCAAGTGTTATCAAGATTCAACATTCACATAATTAAAATCTCCAATATTAAATAGAAGAATTACATGATCAAGAAAGTGTTTGCAACAAATTTGAAGGCACAAGGAAACGTGGGTTTTAAGCAAGAAATGAACATTGAAAATATTCCAAAATGAGGACAAATTAAAAGAAAATTTTGAATTCCTTACCATAGAGAGAGAATCATAAAATATCACCCCCTGCATTTGGAGTAGGCGAGGGAGGAGGAGTGAGTCGAGTGACCAGAGATGGGGATATTGGTGCCGGTGAGAGAATCACAATCGCAGACGATAGAAAGGGCGTGAAACGTCTAGGTTGGATTTGCGAAATTGGGCTGGTATAATGGGTTATAATTTTTTCTCTTGGGTTTTCACTTTTTCATCTTGGGTTGAGGTAAACTAGAATATGGACGGTAAACAAATGAAAAAGGGGAAATTACACCATTCCAGGTCTTTAAAGATAACAACTCAAAAATCAAGGTTGATGTTTCATTATTCACAAATCAGGTCCCCATCTATCAAAACCCTAATTTATCTCCACAACTCTCTCTTCCCCCTCCCCCCACCATCTCTCTCCAGTGAGACGCCTTTCATTATCTCTCGTATGAATCCGGTGCAATCGCGAACTCCTCATCTTCCCATCATCATTGACCGCCGTCGCGCCCAGTCCATCACCTATATTCAATCCATATCACCCCAGATGGAGTGCGAATCGTCGGCCAGAAGGAGCGCAAAATTGTCACGAGTTCCTGTGTCATTTTACCCATATCGTGCGATTGCAGATCCATCCATGGCAAGGAGCGCAAAATTATCATGAGTTCCTGTGTTATTTTACCCATATCGTGCGATTGCAGATCCATCCATGGCCGTCATCGCCGTCGTCGCTCCCAGCGAGCAGCGTTCACTGCAGCACAGATCGGTGGTGGTGTTCTTTTTTTCTTATTGTTTTGATGTTAGTTGTGGGTGGTTTTACTTGTTTTCGATTTTTGCAAGTAGTTGTTTTAGTGGTGGTTGTGGTGGTGAGGTGGTTGTTGAGTGGTGGTGTTGCGGCTTGTGCAGCGTCACCATGGGACTGTGTCTTGGTTGTTGAGAGCATGGCGAGTTCGTGTTGGCATCGTGGTGATGGTGGCTATTGTGGTGGCGACGGGGACGATGGTAGTGGCGTGGGTTCAGATTTGGGTGGTGGTTGTTGTAATAGTGGTGAGGTAGTGACGTTGGTGACAGTGGTGTTGTGTTATTGTTATTGTCGATGGTCGTGATGGTGGTAGTGGTGGTGGAGGTGGCAGCGTAGCGAATGGATGGGACGAAGAGTGCCTGTGACCAACTATTTGGTCGATTTGTGACCGAGTATTGATAGTGGATCGGGATTGGAATCGAGTGATTGGGTTATGTGACCAATTATTTTGTTCTTTGTGATTAACCATAAAAATTTGACTTTAATTTCTGATTAAAAAAATAATATATGATCAACAAATTTGAAAATATGTGACCACTAGATAAATTATGGTCTACATTTTTTTATCTGTGACCAATTAAATAAATGTGACATGTAAAATTATTGATTTGTAATCTCTAAATAATCTGTGACCAATAATTTGACATTATGTGACTAATAAATAAGCTGTGACTTGTAAACTGTGACCTTATTATATTTAAGTAATAAATATTTTAAATTAATTATCTCATACCTGAGTTCTGCATTTTTAAACCATACACTTGACTTGTGATTTGGTGTAAATCAAACCACTGAGTTATGATTTTTTCCTAATGAAAAATCTAATACTATAAAAAAGTAAATGAACTGACATGGGGCCTGGGCCCAAATGCCTGCACTAAACTGTGAATGGCTTCGCCCCTGGTAATGAATGTAACTAATGACTAATTATTGTCGGCTAGTATGAGTTGAATGATGTTAATTTTCTACAAATTTGTAATTTTACTTGTGATAGAGGTTTAATTAATACCAAGTAATTCGACATACTTAGATCATTCATAATGTTATTTGCAATTTTTTTTTCAACTTTGTTGCGTGAAACACAAAGTTGCCACATAATTGGAATTTTAAAATTGGTTATATTCATACCATGTTTCTTTTAAATGCTATAAATTTTAAGCTCCTTTGGCAACAATTAAGATGAGTTTTATTTTTGGGAAAATGAGTTTTAGACTAGTGAATTGTTTTTTTTTTTTTTTTTTTTTAAGAATGTATATTTTAAAAAGGAGAAAAAGTTTTGAATTTAAGTGAAAAATATTTTATTTTAAGAATGTATTGTTGAAAATAAATTTGTGAAAAAACGAATTTTATAATAATGGTTGTCAAACAGAAGCTAAATTGTATTAAGGGTCCTTAATCTTTATTCATTATCACATTTAAATCCTTGACCATTTTTCCCATCATATTATTATCATTAATCTTCTATTAGTTAGCACGTCTTGTTTCTAATGGTAGATTTCGTCTAAAAACTCTGTTAGTGTACTTGAATTTGAGAGACAAAAATTAAGCATCAATTTTGTATTTATTGGTTTATTTAATATACGATGGATAAAAAAGTCTTTCTCCTCATTTTAGTACTTTTGGACAAAAATCATTATTAGTAACCAAAGGTGCTAATTAAAGGAACGGTTAGGAATAATTATTTGATTAAAAATCAGGGACCGGTGACATATCCCTCGAATAATGCTATCTTAAAATCTTTATTGTATCTCTATCGTTTATTTTATTCTCTAGTACCCACATTTTAATAGCATATGCAAGAAGCACATGACATAAAATATTTCTTGGACTAAGTCAATATTTTTTTTTTCATTTTGAAACTTGTAAATAAACGTCCGTTTCACGCATCACGATCATAAAGATTAAAAATTAATCAAATATATTGTAAATTAATAATAAGATAAAAAACGTGACAGAATTTCATATCACATAGACTTAACTAATGTTTGTATATAGGTGTCATTGTATTGACTCACACCCAAGTTTTGGGAGCAATTATGCTGCTTTTTTTCTTTTTTTACTCGTTTACCTATTTATGAAGCGGGGTTGTAGCTTCGTAGGAGAAAATCTTTTGCCAAACAAATTTGGTTACCATAGTTGATTTTATTTAGATTTTTCTTTTGAATTTTAAAGGCATTTGCTACATCATATTTTGCTATTTTCAATTACTTATAAAGTTTAAAATCATAAAGGAGCTAGATTTATTTATTTAAATTATGTTTTGAATACACCTCTTTAGAATTTACTTTTATGATGTGAAAAGTTATTACTTATTCAAAAGATTGTCCCGAGTCTCTTCTCTCCATATCTTGGGGAATGCGACAATAATAGGGGGACTTGAATTGGCAATTGAATAGCTATTACTTGTCCACATTTGCAAGAGGGGAATTCTCATTAGCAAAATCAATAATGCTGCTCAACTCGGGATTTTGGAGCCAAGGGTCGAGGTGGCATGACCTTGACTCTTGATTTGAAATCCGTGGGCCGCATGCGCTGCAAGATCGAGGGCCGAGGCCATGCCACCTCGGCCCTGGATCGGAACACGGGATTAAATCCCAACTTCTGCAGCACGATTGTAGCAAAATATAGGAATTCTTACTCTCTTTCATAGAAATCTATGTAAAGGATTTGAATTTCAACCTATAATGTTAACCAATCAGTTCCATTATGCTCAATTTCTTATAAGCTCTTCATTTACACCATGTATAACTCGTGTTGGACTTTGTTCGTACTCTCTCAACAATCTCATGTACTTATATTCGTCCGAATGCCAATTATATAGCATGTATAATGGCTCAACTCGCATTTTCACAGTTACGTGACAATGTTTGGTGGGTAGTCCTCCTATAAACATTGTAAACATTATTTGGACTGGTGTTTACTGCTTAATTTTGAACTCAAACAATAAATTAATATAAAAAAGATAAATATTCATAAAAAATATGTCCTTCTAACCAGCTAACTTGTTTTTATGTCAATCTCTCAATCTTAATCGAATACACAAGGTCTGACCATCCTTGATTGTAGCTTGGTCAACCTCGAACACCCCCACAAGCGGGCTTGTTTAGTACTATTCGACCACAAAATTCAATCAAAAATTTATAAATAGTTTATAAATACAAGCAAAATATAGATTAAACAAAAGGGAGAACCGGAGAACCAATGAAAATACACTGCTGGAGCATCGGTGAAACACTTCAAACACCCCAAAAAATGAAAGATGTATTGTCTACTATGTATTAGATAAAATAGAATTAGACATAACTTTAGACAAATGTTTAACATTTCTCTTTTTGGTACATTTATCGCATTGTTCCAATTTTCAAATTTCATGACGAAATAAATTCGCAAAGAAATATAACTGAAAAAATATTGTATGCACAAATTATAAAAAATACAAAGAATTATTTTCAGCGCCCTTCCACGAAGCTTCATTCAACTTTCCTATTTACAGGAATTCTTCCAAGATAAGATCAAATTTCACCAGAGCCAGCCGTTTTATCTTGACCCGTCAACAAACCTGAATTCGTCATCCACAATAACGGTGTTAGCGTCCCACCACATCTCGCCGTCACGTTCCGTCACGTTCTCCACCGGCGCTGTCACATTTCTCACGTCGCCAACGGTTAAAATTCCTTTGATGTCATCGCTTACGTACACCTTCTCAACGCCGCCAGTGGACACATTCATCGTCCCCGCCACAGCTTCAGCTGGTAAACACCATTCGGCTGATATGGCTGGAACCCGACGCCTCAATCTGATGTCGTAACCACCCAAAACGACGCCGGCACCATTCTCATTACGCTTTGCTGTAAAAACCATCTTCGGAGTCGCCACCGATGGGATAGAATCATTATCATTATTTTCTTCGGAACAGTCGGAACCTAAACCTAAACTGTCCCATAGCTTTACAACACTTCTACTGGAGGTCAACTTCGACCACCCAAATCTCTCACCACCACTGCGCAGCCGCTTCATGTGTCTCGATATACTATTTTGCCATTTGAGTTTCAAATAGAACCTCGAGCCCTTGACTCGAAAATCTTCATCAACATCTTGTTGATCTTCTTCATCCTCTTCTGAAGAAACAGAAGAGCAGTCATCATCATCGCTAAATTCAGCTTCATCCTTTTGAACAAAAGCTTGTGAAGAAGGCTCGACTGCGTGTAAAGGAATAGATATTATCTTGCCTCTCCTAATTATGCACACGAAAGTTGCTGAAACTGCAAGAATTAGAGCACCGCACTTCCAGAAACTGTAAAAGAATTGAGAAATCAAAGATGGGTTTTGCAAGCATTTCATTCCTGCCTCAAAACCACCGATCACTTTCATTTGTAGAATTTCCATGTTGATCAATCTTTATCTCAAAGAATTGAGATTATGTGCGTGTTATATAGACTGTGTCCGCGTTTCGTGTGTAAGGTTGATAGAAAGAGTCTGTTGGGGAGGTGAAAGGGTTGAAGAAGAAATATATAGATTTTTGTGTTGGTCATTGCTGACGGGGAGGGAACCGTTGGATAAGATCATTGGCTGGAAAATAGAAACTATCGATAATAAGATAATAAATAAAGAAAATTCTACTTGTACATAATTATTGCACATAATGATATCCATAATGTGATGTAGCAATCATCCGACTGTTGATGTGCAATGTGATATTTGAATTAAAGGTTGGATCCAGTGTTACGTGTAATTATGAACACCATTATGTAGACAATTATATACATGCAGCACTTCTTAATAAATGATTTAGCCCCCGTTTGGCTTGTTCGTTTTCATTTTTTTCTCTCTATCTTATTTTCAACGACACAATCTTTCATAAAATAATAGTACATGTAAATCAAAAAAAATTCATTCTTTTTTAACCACACATTTAAAAAAAAAAAAACACTATTCTAATCATTAAAATTTTTTAAAAAAAAAATTTGAGGGTCAAACGAGAGTTTAGAAGACTTGTGTATTGTTGGTCAAAGAGTTTTGTGTAGGTCATTGCTGACGGGGAGGGAGCAATTTTGTGCTATTACCATAGTTTTTGAATTTTATTTTCTTGATTAATTTTCGTATTTGTCTTTGCAGAATAAGTCAATAGTTGTTACACATGTATGCCGTACCATCGTTATGCGATTAGTAGTTTATGTACTTATCCAAGGTAATTATATTCATCCTTGTCAATAGCACCACGTTTTAATTATAACGAGGTTACTTGTTCACATATATCTCCAGTTTTTTCATCACGGATTTATTTTTAACTTTTAATTAATTAACATAATGGTCCCTGATAATGATTTGTGTTCAAATATTATGTTAACGTGAGAAACATAGTTTGTCAAATTTACATATATGTTGCTTTTCTTGCTTATTTAAAAATACGAAGACAAATTAATAAGTCTTTTTATTCCATTCTAATGAATTTCTTAACCGTCATTAGGAACAAAGGTAAAAATATGATGAAAAAAGTTATGAACATAAGTGAAAAAAAAATGTAATTGACAAAATTATGTGGTGTATATATTTACCTACTTCTCTATTTAGAGAAGCAAAAATAATGAAGCTTAGTTCTCTTGTCCCTTCATAGTTCTTAGTAATTGGTATCCATTATTTTGAATCTCTCTCTCTCTCTCTCTCTCTCTCTCTCTCTCTCTCTCTCTCTCTCTCTTTTTTTTTTATTTTTATTTATTTTTTTTTTTTTTACGGGGTTTAGGTTCCTCAAACACAAAGATGGCTCAAGTAATTTGTGAATATTAGGCAAAATCGCAAAAATATATCTTTTTGAGAATAAAAAAATACATATAGTAAGGAATGCTTTAAATCAAGATGTAAATGTCACTCGCAAAACTTCTCTATAATTATCTTTCTCTAAGTCAACAACTAATCTCAACCATATATTTTATGGGACAACAATTTCTCAACCAAACATTTCAACAACTTTTATCAAAATTTACAAAAAAAATTTAGTTTAGTTCCCAACCAAACAAGGGCTAAATTTAAAACAATATCGAAATATTTTATATTTTAATCATTTTTTATTTCCTTGAAAAAGTCCATTCTTCACCCCACCTTCAACACGTGAGATAATTTATATTCTATTAAAGAGCCAATGTGAGATTATTTAATCTAAAACAAGAATGACATGTAGGAGAGCCCTAATCAGCAACGAGAGGTGTGTTTGGATCATCCGTGAGTCAACAATGAGAGATTTGTGTGGATCATTCGTGACTCAGCAAGAGCTTGGAACGTCCAAATATGTGGTGGTTTTTATCATTGACAATTTCAACACGTTGTCAACGTTCATTGCTTGGGAAAGTTCATTGCTCGTGGGCATAAAGATAAGAAGATTTTTATTAAGCATGATTTTTATTTTTTTCACTAGGAAATATATAAAATCAACTATGGAAAAACAAAGGAAAGTGATTTGAAAGGGAACCAAAAAGTAGAATAATATAGCTTTGAAGTGAATGTCAAAGTTTTGAATGGGATGTGTTATTCTTTCTTTAAGGTCACGTCAAACATCCATCTTTTGATTTCATTTGTATGTTCTTCAAGGCCATCTATACTTTTCAAAATTGAACTCAATCGTATGTATGTCTAATTATTGAACTACACTAATTTAAGACCTAATTTAAAGCATGTTTGCGAGTTTTCCTTTTTCCTTTTTTTTTTAATAAACATATGGTTTTAATTCTAAATAGATGTATATGAGTTCTATGTAAATAAATACTATTGTAGGTGTCACCAAATATGTAGATAAAATGATTCGACCAATTATAAACAAGATTTTTAAAATTTGGATTATTAATAACTTGTTTAATTATTTGTTAATATACATTCTTAATTTTATAACAAATAAATATAAAAAGTAATCATTATTCTTTTGAAAAATAAACTCTACTATTAAAGTTCAAATGAATACAAATTAAATTGTACATTTTCTGATATTATATTTCATTATAATTTATGAATGGTCATATATATGAGCAAATTACAAAAACTTCCCCTTTGATCGAACAAGCTAAAATAAATCTAAAATATTTACTCTAAAATGAACTAAAAAGAAATTTAGGTTCTGTTTGGTGGTAATTAAATTTAGATTTTAGTAAATTTTGATAAAAGTTGGTGAAATGTGCAATTAAAAAGTTGATAAAAGTTATAAATCCCATAAAATGCGTGATTGAAAAAAAAATTAAATTTTAAGAAATGAGGGCCAATCAATGGCTTATTTGTCTTTCGCTTTTTTAATAAGCAATGAGTACAAAATTTGACAAAATATTTTTTCTTTATTTCATAAATATTGGCAGAATACTTTGACATAAATATTTAACACAGACAAGATTTGGTAATTAATTAGAGTTAAGGATAAGACAATATATATTTTATATTTGTAATTTTAAATTTGGGAATAATGTTTGTCGAAACACACCATTCTAGCCCCTTCAAACTTGTATCTTGAACATATTTAGCCATAAATTGGTTCATATATGGGAACATTTATAAGACACACATTATGTAACATTTTTCACTTATATATTTTATGCATTTGACTTGAAAGAGGAAAAGATGACGATACAAACGAAACTGTCTTCATAATCCAATCTTATTCATTTTTTATATTGAAAGTTTAGGGAACGTTCTACAACCACTTGAAAATTCACGAGAATGCTCTACTATGTCAAATTCAAATTTTAGTGTTACCAAATTTACGTTCTAACTTACCGTTTGACCTTACGTGCGGAATTAATACAATTAATTGTAACAAGTCACAAATTAATTGTTGTCTAGGTGATTAAACATACTCGTCCAATTAAGCCTAGGTTGATTTGTCGGTTTGCGTAAAGTAAATAAAACAATAACAATATCAACTCACAATATGATGATGGAGAAACCCCAACGTGAGTAAAGCTTCGGGATCAAGCCAGTAGTTTCCACTATACCAATCCAGCTAGTACAAGTTATGCCAAACTTCGTACCAAGTCAGACCCACTGTTCTAGTCTCACGATCTACTGCCGCAGATACTGCTGGTCTCCTGCTAGCTTCCCGATCTACCTCCTGCAGCTCAATCTACTTTCCAATACAGCCTCCTCGTCTCTAGCTGATTGTATCACCAAGTAGAATTCTAAGAACCTCCTGTTCTTGTCCAATTCCTGCGCTTGTCGTCCACCTCTCTCAATCTCCCAATGAGAGAGTTACTTCCTGAACAGATGAAGAAGTCTAGGTGTTTTGTGTTCACAAATAATGATGTTTTCCCCGACAGTGGATTGTCCGGATCACAAGGTGTTTATGGATGAATTCCTTGTTCAATTCTGCATTGAATCACTTGAGAGAATATTGAAGATGATATCTATGTAAAGCACAATATGACAAATCTCTCTTTCATGTTCACGATCTTTGTATTTATAGTCAGGGGCAATTAGGAGTCCTAGGCTGTGTCAAACTTTCCAGAAATTGAAAATACAATTTTTCATATAACATCGTCGCTCGAGTGAACAGCGAGCAATGCCACTTCGCTCGAGCGAACATCGAGCGACGAGCGAGTGACGACCATTCTGTTTCCTCTTGCTCGAGCTGTGTCAGGGCGAACAACTAGCGAACTTCCGGCGCCGCGACCTTGATTTGAACCAAACACTCAAACCCTAGTCCCTACCATCTAGTTTACTAAATTGCATCCTAAGTCCCTGACTTTTACAAATTTACAATTTAGTCTTTTTGTCCACAGATTCACCAATTACACCTTTAGACCTAACATATATTTTCTCGAGAAGAGAACCAAAACCATGCATAGAATTTTTTTTATTTTTTTATTTTTTTTTATATGCACCAAACAATTTTAACAAAGAAATTGGATTAGAAAGCGAAGAAATTCTTTCATCAATGCAATCAAGCGGATGAATTATGCTTAAAGTAGAAGCAAAGAGAACATCATTACCTGTCCCAACCCAATAATTAGTCAAATTTGTTTGTGTTTGTATCTATATATTTATGAAGAACCATTTTAGGTGTACATATGCACCCATGTGAGTTGGCAGAGTTTGATACATTGATTTTGACTCCATCTTTTTAATCAATGATCAAATTTTTGACACATAAAAGGTGTAAATCGAGTTGTACACAATTGATGTGCAACATAAAGGGTGTAAATCGAGGTGTACACAATTGATTTGCAAGCAGCTTAATTTATTTATAAATAAGACATTCGACTGTGGCATGCATGTGTTAATAAAATGTAGAGTCAAGATCAAAAGGAGCCGCACGCGGTCTGACTCCACCAAAGGCTGGCATAATTGCTGAGTTTCTTGATCATGCTAATACCATCATTTTTCTCATCTATTTAAAATATCGACTGATAATTTTCTATTAAATATCATGCATAAGCTCCATAACTTGTTTCGAAAACGAAATTTTGATGTGTTAGCTTTAACTTGATAATTCAATATAAGGGGTGTAATGGGACTTTCGAGTAAAATTTAACCTCTTAACAATCAAATAGACTAAAAGTGAGCACCGATGATCCAATAACGAAAGGTTGAGAATATATTTGTTAAAAAAAAAAAAAACAAAAAAAAATTGGAAGTTGGAGATTGAGCACCGACTTGTTAAATTTGCACATAGTCAACCTTATTAAATTCATTTTTGTAATTTTGAAGCATGTCAATCTAACAAATCGAACCGATTCATTTAAATTAAACCATGTAAAATAAAGGAGTAAATTACATGAACCTCCCCTAAAGTTTATACAATTATAGTGATTTTTAAAATAATTAAATATGATTTTTTTTCCGCATACGATTGATAAATAATTTACAAATCAGTGGAATAAGTATTTTACAATAATTTAATAAAGCTAATTGAAAATTTTAATACCATATTAAATATACAATAATTAGATATGGACTTTTTAATACGATTAATTAAATTACTAATTAAAAAAACATACATTAATGTTCTAGAATAATTTATCTAAGCTAGTTGACAATTCGTTAAATTTTTTATATTGCTTGATTTAGTAGTGTTTTTTTTCTATTTTTTTATACTCTTTACATTTATACTATAGCAAGTATAGAAGATAAAGAAATATTATCATAATATTAAAATGCAAACGAGTTGGCATCAAATGTTTAAATCATAGATTCAATTTAGACAATTTTTTTATTAAATATATTAGATCAATTTCAATTGTCCATTATTAACGCCACAATTTTTATTTATTTTATCACATTTTAATTGCAGTTCAATCCTCAATATTTGCTAATTATAACAATTATCTTTAACTTCTTTTAACGTTTTTTTAACTTTCACCTTCCATTAATTAGCATTAGTATTCTAAAAAATGTAAAGTGTAAATAGGAGTGGAGGCTAAATTTCAAGATTTACAAGCTTAGGTGAGACATAGAAATAAACAAATATTACTTATTTTTATTATTTTAAATACTTAATCATTATAAAAATCATTTAATAATTAAAATAATACATATCAAGTATCTAAAATTATAAAATATTATATGTACTCAATAATTTCTACAATTAGCTAAATTATACAATTTTCAAGTTTTCGAAATGTAAAAACTAAACTATTTTTCATAATTTAAACTTTCAACTAAACAAGTCTTGCTTGGCTAACAATTTTACAGGAGCTTCATAAATACTTTGAAAATTTTCAACTAAATGATAAGTTTCTAAATTATAATTACAATATATAGAAAGTACCATAGTTTAAATCTTATCCAAATCTTTATTGAATAGAGTTATTTTCGACCTTTTGTACAAATAAAGTCATTTTAAATTTGGAACTAAAGTCAAATAAAAACCTTTGAAAAATGAAAAAAATAAAATATATAATAAATTAAAGTCAAACAAAAGGTATTCCCACCCACCCCCCAAAAAGGGTGAGCGCTAGGCACAGCTAGGCGGTCAAAAGCAATTGATCATTTAATTCTCATTTACTGTTAAAGTAAAACGTTTTGTCCTACCTAGTGCCTAAGCACACCTTTAGAACACTGACTAGCATATCTCATTCTAGATAATTGTTCCCGTCAAAATATTCCGTCTAGGTGTTTTAAAATGAAGAAAAATTATTTTGCTGCACTTTTGCATTTATTTTAGTTTTTAAAAATATATGATAGACAAATAACTTGTTTGATGTTCTTCAAAGGGGTTTTCGAATAAAACCTTTAAAATCCCTTTGGATATGATGACCTTGTGGTGATTTTTATTTGACATCGATTACTTTATGGATTGTTGCATATATTAATTTGTGTACATATCTGGGTTATTACTTCATCTGACTTCTGGATTTCTGAAATCTCTTTCTTTCGACTCTCCTGAGACTTTGAAGATTTTTCATCTTTATAGATTTGATTCTTCTTGAGTTATGAGTGTGTATATCTGAGGAAGATAAAGGGTGTGTTATGATTTAAACGAGTATAATAATATGACAATATAAAAATTAGATCAAAGAAGACTACAAAATTTACATGGTAAAAATATACAAGTAGAGAAGGATAATTCATTAATAATCAATAATGAAGAATTACAAATTATTGAGTAGAATTTAAGGATTGATTCAATATGTGTTGTACACCACATATAATATAATACTAAAACCCCTAACATGCTTGGAATATAATATAATGAATTGATTAATATAAGGTGAAGTCCTAATAAAATGAGTAAAACTAGTAATGGAATATTTGAGATGAAATAAGAATCGAAAACTACAAAAAATGCAAACAAAAACTTATTGCTACTTGGACTCCTTCAATACCTCAAGTCTACTACCAACTTTCAAATTGAATTTCAATTTAAATTCCCAAATAGACTTTTACTATAATTCCCAAATGGACTTCAAATATAATTCTTAATTAGTTTTTAAAATAAAATTCAGGTCCCATCTTAATTCTAACAAACTTCACCTTGACACGAATTCTACTACAATAAACAAAATTTCAAAAAATTCTCAACTTCGAGATAAATTCCATTGTAAGGAATAAAACTTAACTTTTCAACAAAAAAATTCTCCACAAAAAAATCGTCCAACAAATAATTCTCTACTTCTTCCACAAAACCCAACTAGAGTAAACTCAATAACTAAAAAAAAAAAAATCAATTGAATCCAAGCATTGCCCTTTTCCTAAAGTACGAATATCAAAGTTGGTAGCACATTTCCAGGATAAATATTATCATCAGCATTTTGAACCTAAAGGACAATGTCAAGGCAAATGAATAGATCAATAATTGTTCTTCTTGTTGGAAAAAATTCCAACTTAGGGGCCACACATGTACATTTATTAGAATGTGTGGTGCTATTTTAAAGTAAATATAGTCGATAAAGTGATCCATTGGATTTAATTTTGGACTAATGGGTATTAAATTTTATGGGATTAAAGTGTAGAGACCAGAAGGTGTTATTTTGAATTGATGAGGGGTCGATTTGAAATAACTTAAAGTTAATAACTGCCAATAGCAGTTATTTTTAAAAGTGGTTATGGTCCCCAATTTGAACGTGATTTTCTTTGGAAAATATCTCTGCATCCCCATCAACAGAGACTTTGAAGAAAACCAAAAGGAAGGAAAATCACGTATCAATTGGAAGATCAAAACCCAATTAAAGCAGTAAGATTCATGGATCAAGGTATGTTTCCGCACTTTTTGTTGTCTCTTTGATTTCAACATGGAATTTATGATTTTATG